AGTAAAATGCCTTCCCCGCTTGGCAGACCCCATGTCCTCAAGGCTTAGGCAACCACCACATCTTTTTAGAAACTGTGCTGACCTCTGGCCTCCACACCCCACCTCTACCTTCCCAGGGGTTGGCTCCTCCCAGCTCTGTGGTCCATTCACAGTTTGCATCTAATTTGACTCTCAACAGCACCTACTGAGAGCATCTCAAGCATTGTGGGCATTTATTTATACAGGGACCTTCCCCAAAGCCAGAGATTCTGGGAGCAGAGGCCAGGCCCGTCCAGGACCTGGAAGAGTGCCCAGTACGTAGAAAGTGCTCAGACGCTACAGGGCTGAGTACCCCCTATATGCCATGCAGAGCTAAGCCCTTTACACACTTCTTACCAAGTCCTTCCAACCCCCTATCTTACTTTCACAGATGAGAAAACAGAGAAGTTACGCAGCTTATCTGATGGGTGAACACACAGAGAGGAAGGATTAAGCAGATGCTCTAGAACAGTAATTTTGCCCCCTTCCAAGGGACATCTGGCACTGGCTAAAGATACGTTTGGTTGTCACAACTTGGGAAGTTCTGCTGGCATGTGGTGGGTAGAGACCAGGAATGCTGCTAAACACCCTATGACACATCAGACAGCCTTTCACCACAAAGAATTATCTTCCCCCAAATGCCAACGCTACCTATGCTGACAAACCCCGATCTAGGAAAAGTTTTTAAAAAGCAGGGGTTGGGGTAGGCTAGAGTGGTCAGGAAAGATTTCAAAGACAAGGTGGGACTTGAAGTTTTAGGAGATTCTTCATCTTAAAAAGGTATCTTGTGCCTGACTTTCAACAAGATTCTTAACCTACATACTAGACTCATCAGGGTGATCACTTCATAAGGTATATAAATGTCTAATCACTATGTTGTACACCTGAAACTAATATTTTTAAATTTCTTTTAAAAATAGTTTTTCCATTTTCAATTACAGTTAACATATATTATTATATTAGTTTCAGATGCACAGCACAGTGATTAGACATTACAAAACTTACTACGTGAGCATCCCAATAAATCTTGTACCCATCTGGCACCATCCATTGTTGTTACAATATTACTGACTATATTCCCTGTGTTGTACTTTACATCCCATGACTGTTCTGTAACTACCAATCTGTACTTCTTAATCCTGTCACCTTTTTCACCCATTCGCCCAACCTCCCTCTCATCTGGCAACCGTCAAAACATTCTCACCTGGCCCAGCATGGCTCAGCGGTTGAGCATCGACCTAGGATCCAGGAGATTGCAGTACAATTCCCAGTCAGGGCACCGGCCCAGGCTGCGGGCTCCATCCCCAGCTGGAGGCGTGCAGGAGGCAGCCGATCAATGCTCGCTCTCTCTCTCTCTCTCTCCCTTCCTCTCTCTGAAATCAATATATATTTATAAAAATAAATGAATAAACATTCTCTGTATCTATGAGTCTCTTTCTGCTCTGCTTGTTCATTTTTTTAGATTCAATTGTTGATAGACATGTATTTATTGCCATTTTATTGTTCATATTTTTATCTTGTTTTTTTCCCCTACTTCTGAAAGAAGACACTTCAACATTTCATACAATGCTGGTTAGGTGGTGTGAACTCCTTTGGCTTTTTCTTGTTTGGGAAACTTTATCTGACCTTCGATTCCAAATGATAGCTTTGCTGGGTAGAGCAATCTTGAATATAGGTCCTTGCTTTTCATCACTTTGAATATTTCTTGCCACTCCCTTCTGGCCTGCAAAGTTTCTGCTGAGAAATCAGCTGACAGTGTTATGGGAGCTCCCTTGTAGGTAACTAACTGCTTTTCTCTTGCTGCTTTTAAGATTCTCTCTTTATCTTTAACCTTTGGCATTTTAATTATGATGTGTCTTGCTGTGGGCCTCTTTGGGTTCCTCTTGTTTGGGACTCTCTGTGCTTCTAGGACATGTGTGTCTATTTCTTTCACCAGGTAGGGGAAGCTTTCTGTCATCATTTTTTCAAATAGCTTTTCAAGTTCCTGCTCCCTCTCTTCTCCATTTGTCATCCCCATGATGAGAATGTTGGCACACCGGAAGTTGTCCCAGAGGCTCCTTACACTATCATCATTTTTTGGATTATTTTTTTCTTTTTGCTCTTCTGATTGGGTTTTTTTGCTTCCTTATATCCCAAATCGCAGATCTGATTCTTGGCTTCACATACTCTACTGTTGATTCTCTATGAATCATCATTCATTTCAGTGAGTGTACCTTCATTTCTGACCGGTTCTTTTTAGGCTGTTGAAGTTCTAAGTTCCTTGGGCATCCCTGTAACCAGTGTCCTGAACTCCACATCTGGTAGGTGGCTCATCTCCATTTTGTTTAGTTCTTTTTCTGGAGTCTTGTTCTGTTCTTACATGTGGGACATGTTTCTTTGTTTCCTTGTATTGGCAGCCTCCCTGTGTTTGTTTCTGTGTATTAGGTAGAGCTGCTGCATCTCCCGGGCTTCGTAGAGTGGCCTAATGTAGTAGGTGGTCCCCTCTCCTTCTTGCCCCCCCCCCACACTCCATGTGGGCTGTGTACACCTCCCTCTTGTAGTTGAGCCTTGATTGCTGTTGGCACATCAATGGGAGGGATGTACCCCCTGGCAGATCAGCTACAAGGACTGGCTACAACCACTGACTACCAACCTCCAACCACTGTGAAGGATCAGCTATGCAGGGGCCGGCCACACAGAATGGGACTTATTTCAGCAAGCCTAAGGTGCCCGCTGAGTCCACCCCTTGAGTGTGTTGCTTGTGGAGGTGGTCGGGTGGTGGTGCTTCAACATGGTCTGAAGCTCTTCAATGGGTGTGCTGGCTCTGGGGCCTCCTGGGATGTGCAAGCCAAGTCAGCCATCAATCGTGTTCTGCCCAGGTCGGCACAGCATGAGATACAAAGTGATCTGCAGGTGGTTGCTACCTGTGCTGGACTTGGAGGTGCCCAGACTAGGCCCAGCTGTGAACTAAGGCCAGCTACTGCTGGTGTCAGGTCTGGGGCCATTTAGAGAGGTGTATGGGGCTTGCTGTGGCTAGATGCTGCTTGTTTGAGAGATTTTAGAAAAGTCTGAAGCATGAGCCAAGACAGGCCATTAGTATGGAAAAGCCACTGGAAACAGCTTGGGTGAGCCTGGAAGCTGGCTGGGGCGGGGCGTCCGAGAATCACCAGGGTGAGACAAACAGTGGCTCCAGCCTGTTTGCTCTGTGGGAGAGGGTTCATCTAAGGCACAATGGCCTGCGCCAGCACTTCTGTCTTGAGAAAGCTGCCCTGCCCATAGCTCTTGCCCTGATGCTGAACAATTCCATTCCTCCCTGTACAGCTCTGGCGCCTTTGGAGCTGCTGCCTCAGTGCTAGAGCTCAGGGGGAGGGAGCGTGCGCAAGCCCAGGTCAGGCCTGTGTCTGTTTTGTTTGTTTATCTCTACACTCCATCCTTGTCCCAGGGAGTGCTTACCGGGTGAGAGAAGCGGGGGCGTGGACAGGCTGTCTTCCCGCAGGGCCCTGCCAGGGCGTCGAGCCCGCCACCTAAGTGTGAGTCCTGGCAGGGAACTGAGCCCACAGCCTTTCAGTGTACAGGACAATGCTCCAACTGACTGATCCACACAGGCCAGAGCTGTGGGAGCCTGATAAGAAAAACCTCCTGGGGCTCCAGCAGCCCCCCCTTCCCTCTCCCTCAGTCTCAGTCCCCGCTGGTCTTTCCAGCCAGAAGTTATGGGGATTTTTCTTCCTGGCACTGGAACCCTGAGCTACGGAGCCCAGTATGGGGCATGGATCCCGCTCCTCAGGGGGACCTCTGCAGCTGAGATATCCCTCTGTATTTTTATCTGCCATGTGAGTGTGGGAGCAGTCCATTCCAAACCTTTGCCCCTCCAACCAACCTTGATGGGGCTGCTTCTCCAAACCCCTAGTGGTAGGACTTTCATCTGACTCCACTTCAGGTGATCCTGAATGATGACTATTAGCTGTAATTTTGATGTGGTTGTGGGAGGAGGCGAGTACCATGTTTACCTATGCTGTCATCTTGACTGGAAGTCTAATTTCATTTTTCAGTTACAGTTTACATTCAATATTATTCTATATTAGTTTTAGGTGTACAGTGTAGTGCCTAGACAATCATATACTTACAAAGGGATCCCCCTCTCCCCAATACTTCAAGTACCCACCAGGCACTATACACAGTTATTACAATATTATTGACTATATCTTCTGTGCTGTCTTTACATCCCCACGACTATTCTGTAACTGCCAATCTGTACTTTTTAATCCCTTCACCTTTTTTACCTAGCCCTCAAACTCCCTCCACCTGAAACTAATATAGTATCACGTCAACTGCAATTGAGAAATAAATTTTAAAAATAAATTTAAAAGGAAAACAAAAAGAATCTAACCTACAAACCTTCCCTTTGTTCCTTTACCACAGTCTGCCCACTGCCAGAACAGACCTTCTCAGAAGAGTCCCCACCCACAACATCTCGGTATTCAACTCGGATTCAGTGAAGAAGTGAAGGGCTGTGTGCAGGGCCAGCAGCACAGATGTGTCCGAGCCACACCGGCGCACACGCGCACACACACACTCACACAATCTGCAGTCTGGACCAGGAAGCCATACCTGCACTCAAAGTCAAGCAGGAAGAATGTCTCCCACTGTTTATAACCTGGTGACCCAGGAGCCTCTCCTAGCTTCCCATTACTCACAGGTCACTTCCCAAGCAGGTACCTTTACCAAACACAATCCCTGTGAACAGGCCTGGAGTTGGCCTCCAGGGACTACAAAAGCTCTCACCTCACCGGCCCTACTGTAGAGATGAATATGCACGAGTGGCCATGGCCTCCCTGCCACCAAGGGCCTGGGGTCCACCTCAAAGGTGGCCCAGAGCTCTTTACGCTCCCTCCCCTCCCCCCAGCACCAACCTCACTTTCCCAGCTGGAGCAGCCTTCTGTGGGGAACAGTAGGGCTGGACACAGGGAAGAAAGGAACAGAGACTGCCAAGGGGACATCCTCACCTTCAGAGTCCAGAGCCTGGACCTTCAGCTCCAGGGGCGAGTCCTCCAGGTAGAGCTCACGGGTTGTTGAGACGATCTGAATGCCGTGGATGAGATCAACGATGGCATCACAGCGCAGGACCTGGCCTGTGGCTGAAGGGACAGGACCCAGGGGTCAGACAGAAGGCAATGCCATGACTGCCACCCCACCTCTAGGGCCTTGTGGGTCAGATGGTCTTATACTTTGGCAGAAACTAGAGCAGCCAACAAAGCAAGCACCACAAAATAGGGCTAGACGAACCAAATTAAGCCTCCAGAAGCCAAGCAGCTGACCGGTACACACCCTCCTGAAAGTTAGCATGGACTTCCAGAACCTCAGGGGTATGTTCATGGCCCACCTTGCGCCTTTCCCACACGAGCGCCTGCATTAAAGCTGAGTGCAAAACACTCCTCTAAGCCTCACTCTGTTCAGGGTACAGCCACAAAGATACATGAGAACGGCCAATGTACAGTGAGTAGTATCCAAAAAGACAGTGCTGTTCCGATGCCTGTCCCTACCCTGAGGCGAGGAACTGCCCCCCCGGCAGTGTCTATCGTCTACACTGGTGTTTTCACATAAGACTACCAACCTCATCACCAAAGAAAAGGGCTGTGTTCCCATGCGCGTATATGCTTTACTTGCTCCACAAATAAGACACACAAATCCACTACCTGGAGAACTCCCTAGTGCAAGAGCAGCAGGACGTGACTCAGAGCCACTCTGACCATTCTCCAGGCACCATGTAACGCTTCTCATGCAGTTAATGTACTTTGCTAGAAATCCATGCAGCACCACTTATCAAAAACCTTAAAAATATTCACATGCTGTGTTACCCAGTAAAACTTGGACTCTATCATTAGTTAGAAATGGCCTGAAAGAAGCCAAAATAATTATCTGCATAAGAATTTTTATTTTCTGTATAACACTGACATAAACATCTAAAAACAGCATAAATGTCCAACATAAGGAATGCTTGCTAAGACTATTACTCAGCCTTTAAAAATAATTCTATAAGGAGATGGAAAACTTTTCATATCACATAAGCTGGGAGAAAAGCATGACAGAAGATTACATAACTTTCTAAACATCTTACAACTATAATATGCTAAATTAAATACGGGGAAGTGAATGGATTGCAACAACTTTCTTCATTTTGATTCAACACTCACTATAAGTTGTTTGCATAATAAATACTGAGAAATGAAAGCCAGCCTCTGCGACAAGGAAAACAGTACAAAGTGCTGTCAGGAGGGAACAGGGTGGGTGTTGCTTGCTCGGGGCCCCTGGCCTGCCTGGGTGTCCTCGGAACCAACAGGAGGCAGAAAGCACCACAAAGGGCTCTGGCGGCATCTATGGCTGGGCTGTCAGTGGGGTGTTTTCCATATCGCCCCCCCGAGGGACCACACAGGCACTCAAAGCCCTTACTGATATCTTCTGCAATGATGATGCTTGTCAGGCGGGCGGGCTGGGACAGACGGGCCTGTACCACCGCCTTCTGGGAGCACTGCTGCTCATCCAGGCCCAGCGGCTCGATGCTGGCCACCTCTGGCCGGGTCGATGACCTGTGGTAACAAGAGAAGAATTTACTCTCTGAAGCCACCCCACAAAGCACAGCTGGCACCCGAAGCCAAAGCCACAGCCCCATATGAGGCTCTGTCCCAGACTCAAACACAGAATAAAGGTGGCAACTTCAAATCCAGAGGAGAAACGGGGCCCAGCCAAGACCCCTCTAATAGGAGAACGGCAGCTTGTGGAGCTGGGACATCTGCACACACTCCCCAATGAATAATCCAACAGGGGACCACCAACTGGGAAGCCACTTCCATGTCCGACAGAAGGTTGCTTCACGAGACTGCTCTATGAGTGGGAAATAACTGCACCAGGAGAAAAGCTGCCTCTGGGCTCTGGTGAGGAAAAGCTCGGTGTGCCTCTGTTGACCTCTCGCCGGGCCTGGCACACAGCAGGCTCCAACATTAGCTTCCATCTCCAAGTAGGTTCCACCAAAGCTGAAGATGACCAACCATAATGACCACAATGACTTAAAAGTCCCTCTGTGATGGAGCCGACATCATGGCGACGTGGTAAGTAAGGCAGATCAACAAACAAATGAATCAGCCAAATGTTGAGGCGGCTTCCCAGGGAGATGGGCCTCCAGGACAGGGGGATGAAGGGGCAGCACGACTCTGGTAGGCATCCAGGGTCAGCGTCATGGCTTCTCCCCTACAGCACGTGAAACAGCCGTTCCGAGTCAAGGTGAGACGGGCGCGAGGGGTGTGGGCACAGTGCACACAGCGCACAGGGCAGAGGAGCGCTGCCTCAGCTGTCTGCAGACAGCTTGGGGAAGTCTCTCTGAAGTGGCCGCTCAGTGACACCACCCAGACACTGGTGTGTCAGGCAGGGGACCTGAGGCTGAAAGCAGCGAGGCCTGCTCCAAGAATGAAAGGGCTCCAGAAGGTAAGAGGTGCTGAGCTAGAGGGGACAGGCAGCTGCTGAGGTCAGGGGTTGGGGTCAAGGACACAGGGGGTGTTGAGGCCTGGAGCCATTGAAGGCCACAGTAAGGAGCTTAGACTTACTCACTGGGGGTCTGAAGCAGGTGAACATTCCAGCCTGATGTACATTTATAGAGCAGAGAATAAAGAGCTGCCCTCAGTAAACTTGCAGGGGGACGGGGGACCCAGAGAAGGGGCACCCATTGTGCAGAGGGTCCGAGGCTCCTTCCCAGGGCTTCACTCAGCACAGCACCCAGCAGAACAGACACTGCTTCCTTCCCGCCCTCTGCTCAAACTCACTGAAACATCGATTGGCTGGGATATTCAGAAGGAAACTTATAAAAACTGCCTGGTATTAAAAAGCAGTGATGTGAAACACACCCAAACAGACATCTCCAAGTCCTCCTGTTTGATGCCAAGTGTCTCTCCCAGAGCCAAGTCGACACAGCAGTGACTGCAAACACACCTAAGGGTGCTCCGATTGCACAGAGGTCACAGGTACCCGAGCCGCTGGCAGGGAGCCTGGAGGTGGGCCCACACCTCTCCAGAAAGTACTCTGCAAATAACCTCACCCACGGTTAGGGAAAGAGTGTAAGCCCTGAGGAGATGCATCTGTCGTCCCCTCAGTGAGGGACTTCTGAGAAGAGAGCTTCAGAGACTAAGGACAGACAACAAAATAGACAAGAGCACATAAGAACTGAAGGAAGACCTGTAGCAAGATGCTCACACCGTGTTAGAAACACACCCATTTAACTGGTCGCAGCTCTGGAGCTCTAAGAGCATTTTCAAAGGACGTTAAACCTTCCATACATGTGTGCACACACACGCATGTACGCACACACCACACTTACTGTGGAAACAAGACCAAATTAGAAAGCTCACACCGATCAGAGGAGACAGGACAAATAAGTGCAACGCGGACCCTGGGCTGGATCTGGGAACAGAGAAAGAACCTTAGTGGGAAACTGGTTAAATCCAAACAGCCTAGAGTTTAGTGAATTGTGGTGTGCCAATGTCAATTTCTTCATTTTGACAAGTGTTCCTGGTTAGGGAAGACGTTAACATTGGGAGAAGCTGGGTAAAGGGTTTGCAGGAACTCGGAATTATCTTTGTAATTTTCCTGTAAATCTAAAATTATTCCAAATTTAAACTTTTTTTAAAAAGACTGGAAAGGGAAGGATGAATAGGCAGAATATAGAGGACCTTTAGGGTAGTGAAACTATTCTATATGAGACTATAACACAGGTCATTACCCATTGTCCCAACCTACAGGATGTACAACCAAGTACAAACTATAACATAAACTATGGACTATGGACAGTAACGTGTCAGTGTAGGTTCCTCAGCTGTAATACATGCACCACTCTAGGGCAGGATATTGATCATGGGGGATGCTGAAGGGAGGGATGCTATATGGAAAATCCATAATTTGGCTCAATTTTTTTATGAACCCACAACTGCTCTGAAAAATAAAGTCTATCGGGAAAAAATAAATACAATTCACCATTTCCTGCTTTACCTTGAAAAACAGTGTGGTTTGTCTTAACGGCTCCTGGGGGCTAGAGATCTGGATTCCCCGTCTGGGATCTAAGTTCCACTCCCCCTCAATCTCAAGAACAAACTAGGGGCAACACCTCTTCTATCACTCCCTCACAGCAGTGACTTACACTCAGGCAGAGCCCCAATGAATAATCAATACAGATAAGAACAGAGCTATCCCAGTTCAAGTTGAAGAGGCAGGAAACCCTCTGTCCAGCAGCCCAGCCCCTCCCAGGGCTGCCCACAGACACCCAGGCAGCTGCGCAGCCTGGCTGGGAACCAAGCACCTTTCCTTGTGTGCCTGCTGTTTGCAGGGCTTTGTTCCTACACATGAGGTCCCTAACACAGCCCTGTCCAGTGGAAACATGAGGAGAATCATATTCAAAATGTTCTGACTTATGAAAAAGTAACCATTAAAATTAACCTAATAGACTATTTTTTAGAGTAGTTCTAGGTCCGCAGCAACACTGAGTGGAAAGTACAGAGACTTCCCTATGCCCCAGCCTGCCCTGTGCACAGCCCAACTACCCGCCTGCCCCACAGGCGGTGCATCTGTCAGAGCTGATGAGCCTGCAGGGACACTTCATCGCCCACAGTCCACAGTTTGCACTGGGCTCACTCCTGGTGCCGTACATTCCATGAGTACTGTGGTATCCTACAAATCCTCTCTGCCAAGTCATCCCTATTTTTTTTTTTTTTAAACATATTAAAGAAAAATAACAGGTGAAATTAAATGTTTTTAATCCTCCTCTGAGGATATGTTTTCATTGCTTTTTAGAGAGAGAGAAACATCAATGTGAGAGAAACATCCATCGGTTGCCTCCCGTACGTGCCCTGACCTGGGATCAAACCTGCAACCTAGGTATGTGCCCTCACTGGGAATCAAACCCACCACCTCAGCTCCAACAAACAGCCACCCAGCCAGGGCAACCAGTGACGTTAGTTTTAATAATACATGTTACTTAACCCAACACATCCCAAACATCATATGGCCCCAGTGAAATGTCAAGCACTCCCAAGAGTGGTGAGTGACCATGGGACCGGACAGCCAGCTCTGAGGACTGGCCTTCATGAAGGTGGCCTTCATGATCTCTGCCAAGGGCTGGCTGAGGGTGGCAGGAGCTGAGCGCTCCTACAACCTTTTAAAGGCTCTTCGTACTTAAGGCTGATGATGCTAGGACAGTCAGCGCAGCCTGGAAATGAGACCAAGCAGCCTTACCTCCAGCGGCCTGGGGAAAGGCACCAGGGGGCTGTCCCAGCCCGAAGACAGCCAGATCCTAGCGGTCCTACGCAGGAAAGGAGCCCCACATGGGCCCAGAGTGGTCTGGAATCCCTGTACCCACTCAACCTGGGCTGAGCTCAGTGCAGTGGGAGCCAGACTGGTCCTCACAGAGCTGCTGGGAGGGTGGAAACACTTTCTAATAAATGCTAAAGTGCTGAGAAAAGTCAGTAGCAGACATGGCAAACTCCCAGGGTGTGGACAGCCACATCCCCCGCTCCCACTTTCACTTGGAAATTTTCTCCGGGCTCCAGAACACTCTGTCTGAAGCTGGAAGGGCTCACCCCGACCGTTGGCAGAGGTCTATGACAGCTTAGGGTAGCGCTTCTGTTACCAGCAGAACATTCTTTAGTTATCTGACTCTTTCCAGGACATTCTGAAGCCATTTGTTTTGGCTGTACTTTTAAGAGGCACAAAAAACACAGAACCCAGCAATGACGTGTCCTTGGGCTTCAGGGAGGCTCCAGTGGACCCACACTGTGACCTGCCCCCACTGAAGCATGGCCCCTGCTCCAACAGCGCAGTTCACTTGGATGCAGCATCACGTTCTGCCAGAGAAACAGGTCCTGGCTCTTTTGGCTTTCCTGCTGAAGAGCCTTCTTCCGCCCCTAGTTTAAAGTAACCAGCACTCTACACAGAGGATGCCGACTGCTCCAGCTGGCACATTCCTGGCTCCTCCGTGCATCTCAGCTGCTGATGGGCATGTCTGTCCCACCTCCCACACTCCCAAGCCCACACAGAAGTGTTAAGGTATTTCTCTGGGCCCCCAGATGTTTGGATAAGATTAACATTTAAACCTGCAGACTGAGTAAAGCAGATTGGCCTCTCTAAGGTGGATGAGGGTTGTGGTAGGTGGCACTCAGTGATGGCAACATGGCCTTGCTCAGTCTCTGTCTGTTGGTATCTGCTGGAAGGTGAAGTCCTAAGACAGCAGGGTGCTGCCACTCACCAGCTGTGTGACCCTGAGCAAACTACTTAACCTCTTTGGACCTCCACTTCCTCTTCTATACAATGGGAATAAAAATAGTACCAGCTGTAAAGGGTGGAGTGGTTTAGCACAATAATAAAGCTCTCATCACAGGGCCTAGCATACAGTAAGCTCTCAAGTTCAGAAAACAGGAGGAGGCTCCCAAAAAGGGGCATGTGGCCCTGCAGTGTTTGGCATGATTCTGAGCACAAGAGCTCTGCTTTTTAAAGAAATAGAGAAAAGGTGGGGCCTTCCATATTGTGACCATGTATGCTTGACCCTGTCTGTCCTTCTCTCAGTGAAGCCTGGCCCCGATCCCTGTTGTCAGGGCCCCAACAGCGGCCTCCTCAACGCCCCCACCCCACCATCCTCAGAGCCAGAAGCAAAAATTCAGGCTCAAGAGCAGGTTCCTGGCCCAGGGAGAACTTCTGACAAGTCTCTTCCTCCCTCCCAGCTTCCCACCTCCCCGCCTCCATTCCTTTGCTTATGCTGTTCACGCCATCTCCCGCGCCTTCCCACCCACCTCACGCTGCCCGCTTTCATGGCTCACAGCCAAGGGCGAGTCTTCCGTGGACCCACCCTGGCCCTCTTCACCTACCCTCCTCTCGGTTCCCACAGCACCACTGATCCCTCTTGGGGCCCCTAATTCATTCATTCATTCATTCATTGAAACCACATTTCCTAGGTTATGTGCCATGTCCCAGGTACTGTTCTAAGTGCTGGGGATACAACAAAGTACTAAACACACACTAGTCCTCACCTTCACAGAGCTTACGTTCAGTGGGCAGAGAACAAGAATTAACAAGATGAGTGAATGTGGGATCTCAGAAAACAGGGCCATGGAAACATAAAGCAGGGCAGGGAAAGGCTCTAATTTTCAGTAGCATGGTGAGAGCAAGCCTCACAGGGAGGGTGCTGTGGGAGCAGAGACCCACGTGTCTGTAGAGGGCAGGTGTGAACCTTGGACAGCTGGAGGACAGTGTCTGGGGAAAAAGGTCAGCAAGTCCCAAGGCCCCAAAACAACGGCTCGGCAATGGTGCTTTCCCTCAGGCACTGAGTGGGAAGACACAGCTCGCAGCTTGTTCATTTCTTGCCCCACTGCACTAGCATGTGACTCTGGCACATGTGTCTGTAGGTGCCCTTTACTGGGTTATGAACCGATTCTCTTCTATTCCTAGTTTGCTGCAAATTTTCATCATGAATGGCTGTTGAGTTCTTTGCACCTATGGGGACTATTACATGGCTTTCCTTCTTCACTCTGCTGATGTGGTGAATCACTGTTGCTTTTGGGACTGTTCAACCAACCCTGCATTCCTGGCATTTACCCCAGTTGTTCCTGACATAATACCTTTTTATGTTTCTTGGCATTGATTTGCTACTGTTTTGTTAAAGAATTTTGTGGTTTTGGTATATGGATTTCTTTTACTTGTAATGTTTTTATCTGGTTTGCAAATCAGTGTAATGTTAGCCTTATAAAAATGATCTCAGAAATGATCATTCCTCCTCTTTCCTGAAAGAGTTCATAACGAACTTGTACTATTTCTTCAAAAATGTTCAAAGAATTTACAGGTAAGGCCACCTGGAATTAGAGTTTTCTTTATGGGAAGGTTTGTAATTATAAAGTTACACAGAGCACCAGCAGCTCTCTACCTTTCCAAGTGTTTTCAGAACCATCCCCTAAATCCTGCACAGGAGGTGGGTCCAGCGCACCCACCTGAAAGCTGGGGAGTTGCCTCCTTTCCTCTCAGCGTTCTCACTGATCCCCTATGACCTCCTCCCAGACCACAGCAGCTCTCCTGAAGCACCCCAGGTGAGCCCCAGGTATAGCTGCCCTCTCAGCACCCACACCCACACCCACACCCACCCCAAACAGCTCATAACAGGTAAGTGAGGCCAACGCACACACATGGGTATCATTCCTATAGGGGACCTGTGCTGGGTTTGGGTGGCCCAGCCTCCACCACCTCTTTCAGGAACAGCATCCAGCTTTTCTGTGGGTACCATCTCTTCTCCAGTCTCAGACCATGAGCTCCAGAGTGCTCATACTCCTCTGGACACTGGGAAGCCAGTGACCAGGAACAGGCAAATTGGCTGTGTGTTCCCCCCTTGCTTGACGGGGTTCAGACCTGAGCACGTGCCCCGCTAGACTTGACTCTCGGGGCTACAGGGCTACCCCTGGGGAGCATCTGGCCAAAGTCAAGACCTGAGGACGGAGAGGACAAGCCCCTGCAGCACAGATGCCCAACACAGATTCTGCCTGGCTTTTAGGGTTATGAGCCAGAATAATACGCCATTGTTTTATTTAAACTGTTGTGGTTGGAGTTTCCTGTCACAGACAGTCAAAAGAATCTAGACAAAGGAAATCCCCGACTGAATTCTTTTAAGGCTTGCTGCCTTATTTCATTCAAACTACTGGTACTATTTTTTTTTAAAAGAAAAAATGCTTTCATTTATTATGTGCTTAATTATGTG